GGCACCAGGAGCGGCGCAAACTCGCCGATAAACTTAGATTGTTGGGCTGACCGCAGCAGCAGGGCGCGGTGTTGTGCGGGGCGGGGCGTGGCGTGGCGGGGGCAGGGTGTGGCCAGGGGGCCGCAAGCACGCTGCCGTCAGCCGGCCGCAAAATACGGGAGAAAATTAGGGCGCAAGTGAGGCACACGCTGTTGTGACAAAGCAAACACGCACGCACCACACACACAGGCCTAGTTGTGGCTGCTGCTGCTGCTGCTTGGAATGGAGCCGGGTAGGAGGAGGGGAGGGGGGGGGGGGCTGCAGGGCGCCGTCCTCATGAAGGCGCAGTGGAGGGAGAAACAATCTCTTTAGGCTTCCCGTACCACCGCCGCCACCACCTTCCCCTCGTCCTCCTTGCCCCTTCCTCTCTTCCTCCTCCTTCTCCTCCTCCGCTGCTCTCTCTCTCTCGCGTTCATTCTGCCGCAGGGCATGTCGGGCAAGGCAAGGCACCCCCTGTGGAATGTAGGCGAAGGACGTGGCCCGCCACGCACCGCCACGCCACGCGGGTCAGATTGACGGGCTGGCTTTGGGGCGTGGCGGAGCGGGGGGCGAGTGAGGGGTGCGGGGGGCGGGGCGCTCAGTGATGCAGCGTGTATGATGAGGGGTGAGAGAGAGATGGGGAAGTCGGGAAGGGGGGGACGTATGTGACGAGAAGCTTGTGGTGGGATTTGGCCGTTGCGATGGGGGCGTGGCGTGGCGCGGCGTGGTGCTATGCTGTTGTCGCCGCCTGCGACCGCCTGACCCGGAGCAGAGCGCCAATGAGCAGTATGAGCGGATGTCGAAACAGTTTATTCTGACCAAAAAAAAAAAAATGTTCCCTCGAATATCACACCGACAGTATTTGTACACGACTTTTAAACACCCCGAAATCCAAGGTGAATTTCGCATTTACAGATCTAGCTGTTATATCGCCGAATTATTCCAGGATTTTAGGTCACAGTTCATTGCGACCGAAAAAATTATGCGCTCTTTGAATATCACTTTGACAGAATTTGCACTATTACACTCACCGAAAATCAAGGTGGAAGTCGAAATTTTGCCTAGATAGATCAAGCTGTCGTCGCCTAAATATTCCAGGACCATAGGAGGACACACAGAGGGAAACATGCACGAACGCGAACCTGACACATGAGGGAAAGAGAGAGAGAGAGAGCGAGACAGAGAGAGGGGAGGGGAGGTGGTATACTGTTGCTGCTGCTGCGGGTTCTCTGTCGGTTTTGATTTGTTTCCCTCCGATAGCGTTGCGCTCGCCAGGCAGGGCAGAGGACCATCTCAAATTGATTAGCCTGGCTAATTAGCTTCTAATTTAATGAACGCGAATGGCCTTTGGCCTGACAATGGGGCTTCTGTATCATATTTACTCTGCTGATTTATGTCGTGTCGCGGCGCCGGGGCGGTGAGGGGAGGAGAGAGAAGGAGGGGAGGGAGGAAGGGAAGGGGAGGGAGGAAGGGAGGGAGGCGGGGCAGTTGTGTTTCGGGCGCGGACGGGCGCCGCGCCGCGCCATACCCACCCAGCCCAGCGGAGAGTGTAGCATGATGAAAGCATGACAAATAGGGTCCTTAGGAGCCTCTGGCAGATTAGCGGGGCTTAGAGGAGAGAAGGAGGCGGCGGCGGCGGGCGCGTCCGTGATTCGTCATCCGCTGTCGTGGCCGGGCGGGGCAGGGTGGGGTGCAGGGGTGTGCAGGTGCGGCGGGAGGACCGAGGCGTTCTCTCACCCCCGGCCACTCTGAGTGCTCAGATCGGCCTAGGTGCTGCTGCTGCCGCCGCCGCTGCTGCTGCTGCTGCTGCTGCTGCTGCTGCTGCTGCTGCTGCTGCTGCTGCTGCTGGCTGCTGCTGCAGTGCCTCACGGTGGACTCTCGCCAGGCCTTTGCCCCCCTTGCTTTTTTTACCCCCGGCCCTCTGCTTCGCTCTCGATTTTCTTATTTTTTTCCGTCGCTGCGGCGCGCGCAGTCCTTGCCTCTTCTGCTGCTGCTGTTGGCCCTGCCTGCTGACGCAAAGCTTCTTTCCAGGCAAATCCCCTCCAGAGCATTTGGAGAAACAGATTCCGGAGCGCGGGGCGGGCGGCGGGGCTGGGCGCGGGGTGGGGCTGTAGCAGCGCACGTCCGCACCCGGCCGGCTGTGTCACACTGCTCCGCTCGGTCCGTGCCGCGCGCCTGTCTGTGGAATATGATGGCTTCCTCCGCGACTTTATTGTAGCGCGCCGGCTAAAAATGAAGACGTCCCGGACCGCGCTGTAAATCCAAAGGCAAGGCGGCGCGCGGGCGGCGAGGCGGAGGCAGGCGGGGCCAAGAGCAGCTGCCTCGAGCAGCTCTAACTCAGTTGTGGGGTAAACGACTGAGCAGCAGCTGCAGCCGGGAGCGAGCGAGCGAGCGGGCCAGAGAGAGAGAGAGAGAGAGAGAGAGAGAGAGAGAGAGAGAGAGAGAGAGAGAGCAGCTGCCAGCTGAGTTATGTGCCTCCCAGGTGCTTTGCTTTATCGCTATCTCGGCCTGCAGCCGGTATAAATCTCCACAGGATAATAAGACGGGCGCGGCTGTATCGATGGCCCTCTCTATCCCGCGACCCAACGGTATGGATACTGCTCGATTTCTTTTTTTTGTCCGAGAAAATTGTCCCTGGTTTCCTCTTTTCTTCTTAAATGTGTGTTTCATTTGGCGGTGTATGCGTGCGAGTGGATGTACTACTGGCGCGCGCGCGGCTCGACTGTTGGTGGTTGGCACGCTGCTGGACCGCTCGCCAGTTGCCTTTCTCTCTTGCTCTCTGTAATATTTATGAAGTCAATTGGCTCGTGTGTTTCCCTTTCTCTCCCCCCCCCCCCCCCCTTTCTCTCTCCCCCTCTCTCTCTCTCGTCCGCTCGCTGGCTCTCTCCCAGGCGCTGCGGGTGGTGCCTGCCTCCTTATCCCCATGAGTGCGCAGGGGGAGGCACAACCGTTCGCCCAGTCAGCCTGCTCATGGTGCACGTTTGTGTTTTAGGGTAAAGGCGGTCGCCTTCCCCTTCGCCAGGGGATGAAAGCAGGGGGAAAAATATTCAGAGAAAAGGATTGTCTGGGTGTTTGAACCCGCGAGTGCGCGCGGCGCGGGCGGCGAAGACGCGTGCTCTGCGGAGGGTCCATGGCGTGTCCTCCCCGGCTCCAGGACCTCGTCCAGGACGTGTAATGGAAGAGGAGGAGGAGGCCCTGCTGCGGAGGGCGCCGCAGGGAGGAGAGGGGCGGGGGGAGGAGGGTTCTGCTATAGTGGTGGTGGCGGCGGGGTAAATTGGGGAAGGTTGATTGTGGGGTAAGGGTGTGGTGAGAGGGGTGGGGATAGGGGAGGGGCTGCGGTGAGAGGAGGGGAGGGAGGGTATGTGCGGCGTTGAGGGGTGCCATCGTGATTCGGAACACGGTAAGATATTGGGGAGATGTCGGAGGAGCCCCCCCCCCCCCTTTTCGGCGGCCTGACTGCGCCAGGGACCGCCTTGGTAATTTGATTGGGAGAGTGAGGTGGTAGCCGGGCTATGGCTAGTTGGACACCCCCCCCCCTTCCCTCTCCCTCCCCTGGACACTTCCGGCCGAGCGTGTTGGGGTTGGCCCCGCCTGACCCGGGCGGAGGGATGCTGACGCGGGCCGGGGGGCGTGGCGCTGCGCTATGCAACGCGCGCGGTCCATCCGGGTCCATCGGGTAGAAGAATGCGTTGTGCAAGCCAGGCCATTTGTATGAAAGCCTCACCCCCCTCTCTCTCTCTCTCTCTCTCTCTCTCTCTCTCTCTCTCTCTCTCTCTCTCTC